CAAGATGATTGAAGTTTTCACTTTAACATTAAAACTACCTCAGATTTACTCAAATTCTGAAGATTGTTATAAAAGAACTATTTCAGAGAGATAGAAAGAGAAATGTGCACACAGACACATACATGGGGCAAACAAAATATTGAAAAGATAATGAAAAAGTGTGGGACAAAGATAAAAGTATTTCACAGCACAAAAGATTTGGGCTTGTCTGTTTGTTGTGAAAAGTAAAGAAGTGTGTTCAGGAAATAAAGAGAGAAAACAGAGTGTTGGCTAAGCCAACTTGAATCTTAAAAAAAGAATCTGGCCTCGTCTTCTGTTGTTCTATGTATGAATACACTCATTTAGAATAAACTGGAGAAAAGAAAGAAATGTCAAAGGAGTTTGTGAAGATATTTGCTTGGTTCTCTGAGTGTTTGACCAAGTCTTTAAGTTGGGATAACTTTAAGAAAAAACTGCTAAAGTAGGGAATACCTTGTAGTGGACCGTGGCTGTGATATTATTGAGTAGAAGAAACACATGTGGGGTTCAGATTTTCCTGCAAGCGGGTCCAACTACATGAAAAGTTTGGACTATTAATTAAATCCAAAGAATGCAAAGAAAACAAACAAAACACAAGACCGATAATATATGTATACAAATATATATATTAATAACAAGTTACATTGAAACAGTTACAAAGGACAAAGTGTGTGTGTGTGTGTGTATGAATATTATATATGTGTGTGTGTGTGCGTGTATTGTGCTTAGCGTGTTCCCAGCATTTGGGAAACACTATCTCTGGTGAGCATTCACATTTTCGTGGTAATAAGGCTCAAAGCCTGAGGAAAAAAGAGAGATTTACCTCCAGGTGTCAGCGCAAAGGCCTGAGGGAAAAAGAGGAAGAGGCGAAGGGTCAGCGACTATTTATAGCCAGAGAAGAGAGACCCCTGGTGAAAGGGTTAACGAACTGAAGGAGGAGTTAACTCCGACAACCTAATAGATTCTTTCTTTCTTGAAATCTATAATTCTTCAAAGAAAATATCTGAATTTGCAATTTGTTAGATGGATTATTGCCAAGCATCGATTCCTAATTGGTTTGGGAAGCATAGACCTTGGAGAATAACATTGCTTTAAACCAAAAGGAGCAGTGATGGACTTTCTGAAAAATACCACAGCAACTATCCCTTTGGTTATCGGCTGTTATTTTTTTTGGGGGGGAGTGGGTGGTTAAAATTAAATTGCATTGCAGAGGATCTCTCCTGGACTGGCAATCCCATTGCGATAGTTAAGAAAGTGGAGCAGTAACTATTTACTGAGAATTCTCCGAAAAAATAATTTACAAAGGAAGCTGCTGACAGCCACCTACAGATTCTCTATTGAGAGTGTGCTGGTGTACTGCATCACTGTTTGACATGCCAGCTGCTCATCAGCAGACAAGAGTGCCCTTGAAAGTTTTAGAGATTTTGTCCAGAAAATAATTGGCTATTCACTACCCTACTTAGTCAACATTTCTAATTCTCATTGTAATAGAAGAGAAGAAAATGTGATGAAAGACATCACATATCCCAGGTATCACTTGACTGAACTATGGAAGGAGGTTCTTTGAGAATTTGGTATTCCCAGGACACATCAAAGACAAAAAGAAACAGGGTAACGCAGCCAGCCATGTACCAGATGAGCATGTGCAAATGGATGGTGGACTGAGAAGTGAGAGAGGATGGTCAAAATGGACATGGCTAAGAGCTGCAAAGGATAGGATATTGTGGAGGGTTATGATCGATCAGAGCCTGAAGGAATATCTTTGTCAAGCAGCCTGTATTCTATTGATTTGTATTACATATTTTGTCATTGACTGAACATTTTTCATTTTCAACTCTTAAAAGCTTTTATCGTTCGGTGGATTTAGGTTTTGAACTAGAATAAATTAGTACATTAGTGATTTTTGCATCAAAAGTTGTCGAAGGTTATAGAGAATGACCAAAAAAAGAAAAAAAAATCAAGAACTTAAACAATAGGCAATATTTTTAGAGCATGTCAAATGTTTATTGGTTTTACTGCTAATTTTAAGAGAGCAAGATAACTACCCTTTCAACAATCTTTGTTTACCCTGAAACTGTTACCCTCAGGGTGATGGTTTGCTTCCATTAGTTCTGGGAAAAAGCACTCAGAGGGCAGCTTTTATCCTTAGACACTGCATGAAATGAATGCTGCCACATGTTGACAATTTTCAATTTATTTGAAACATTATTACTTTCCTTCATTTGATGTTGTGTATGTGTTTGTCTTCATCTGTGTTATGTGCATGTTTAATTCAATATTTTTTTTCCCTTTTTGGTGCTCCTGGGGAGTGCTGTCCAATTGATGGCAGAACAGGGAGTGGGTGAATTAGTGAAAAGACAAAACTTAGTAAGAGCTACAAAGAATAAGAAGTTGTGGAGAGCCATGATCATCGATGTTCTGAAGTGACATGGTATAATAGATGATGAATGTTTAAGGATTAAATGCTTATTTTTATTTTTTTTAATTTGAAAACTGATACTTTTATTCTTTTTTATTTCAAATGCCAGGTCCCTTCAAGATATAATCATGGCTCTCCACATTTTCCTCTTCTTTATAGTCTAAGAATTGACATTATTTCTTAGGAAAGTTAGTGGAGTTGTTTTCTCCATAGTTTGAAATTCAGATATTTCCTTTTCTTAGATTGGTTGACACCCAAAGATAGAGATCCCATTTTAACCTGCTATTTAATCCATGGGGAGAGGGATCTATATATTTCCCCAAGGACAATAATGCAAAAGTGTACAAAAGTCTCAGCTAGAATTTGAACTCAGCTCACCAGAGAAGTATAAAAATCTCTGAGAACAAATCATGTTTGTCATTCCCTTTCCTTTCAGCTATTCCATTCTGTCCATGAAATATGGTGGTATTATATCATGGATATAATAATGCCCATAATAGGGGAAATATAAATGGAAGATAAACCTTTCTTCCATAATCTCTCCCATCATACTAGTGAACACAATGTGAGATTATTTATCTCCATTAGTATGCTGGTCTTTGCAAGTTGAAGAGTTATAGGGTTTCTGTGTGTTTCTTTGATTTGATTCAATCTTATCAAACAGCATAATGGAAGTTGTTTTAAATGACCACTCCTCTAGATCCTTTTGACTAATATAAAAAGGACACAATGCCCGAAACATTATAGTAACAAAGATAAGGACAATGGCTGGCATGTAAATAATACAAAAGAATCTGTTAATGATTTGTAGGACACAAGGTGACACAAAGCAAACTTTTAGAAAGCTAGGGGAGAAGAAAGTTGCAATATCAATTTTTTAAGCTGTTTTTTCTATTATATGAGAAGGTGATGAAAAGTTTCAGGCTAAACTCACTTCTCAAAATCTAACCCTACAAAATAATTAAATATCAGAATCCTTTTTTTTTATGTTAGAATCTTGACTTCACCTCTATGTGAAATTAGATTTTGGATCTCCCTTATGGCTATAAAAATAGAAGTATACTACTCCTTGGGCTCAAAACAGTTTTGGAAGCCAGTTTGATCTACATGTGTGTACAGGCACACAATAAAGAGATGACAGCCAGCAGCTATTGACTAAGGACTATGAACTCACAAACACATTAGGCTGACTGTCATAAATAAGTGTCCACACATTTCCTACTGCACTAAGAACACTTAATTACTTTATAAAACAAACTTCAATGCAAGGAAAATTGAACATTTTATTGTTATTGTATATATCTGAAAAGAATATATTTCATAATTTCAAATTTTAATTCTTGAAAATGTCAATTTTTGAACCTGAGACAAGCCGTTTCGTCTGTTATACAAGCAGATACTGAAAAAGCCACTTCCCAAAATCTTACAAAGTAATTAAGTATCAAAATACTTTTTTTTTTTTAGAACCTTGTCTTTCTGGGCTGAGAAATTTTCAGCACACACACTTCTATAGAATCTTTCAGACTAATTTTCTAACCTTTGTTGTTTTTCTCACAATAAACTGTCTGCTTTGTTAAGTGTGTCACTTCTAATAACATTTGAGTAATGATAATGAAAATTTTATTTGATGCACCAGAATACACCGTTCTTCTTCCTATGCATCTACATCAGACAGAGAAAAGCAAAAATTAGCGGTCAAAGTATTATTTAGGAAAAAAATAAAATAAAAGAACATAAAAACTTATACCAATATTCCATCCACCTTGCAAAAATGTTTTCAAAGTCCTCTTTTTGGGACAGACATATACTGCCTCATTGAATCCTACTTAATTTCACACACAGTATTAAATCTCTATTTAAAGAGCCAAATATAGACTAACAGGCTGGCATAGCTGGGTGATGCTATGTTTTACCAAAAGACTTTGCACTTGATGTAATTTCACACATGGTATTAAATCTCCCTTTCAGTAGTAATTTTAACTTTGGGAAAAGACAGAATTCTGAAAGAGCCAAATGTAGACTCTCAGAGGCTGGCATAGCTTGACTCTTTCTGAACAAACTAAGCTATATTTCTGGTGACAGAAAAACAACATATTAAACACTGAATAGGTCATTTTCCACTTTATTCCTATTTCAGCTAATTTTTTGTTCCCCGTTTCTCTTCTGCATTAGAAGCACCAACAACTGTCAATGGTTAGGAATTGATCTAAGCATTCTTCTTCTATGTACTGTGTCCCTTCAGAACGATGGTGGTCATGGCTCTCAACAATTTCCTGTCCTCCATAGCTCTTAATGAATTTTTCTCTTTTTATTATCTCATGTAAAACTTGTCATGGTATCCATTTATACAAGAATGCTAGGTAAGTTATGCATTGTTATTTTTATTAGTGAATACTCATATTTAAAACCAGTATTTTTTGATTGTAAAATTGTTTTTAAGAGATAATGGTTTAGTGATACAAGTCTTACTAATTAACCCATAGCTGGGGAGAGAGGAGGTGGATTCTTAGCTTTTCCCAAGTGTATTTGAACATTATCCAATACACTACTTGCATATCCAAGGTTACAGCACCTCGTATTCCCAAACAGTCACCCATCTAGGTACTGACCAGGCTTGATGATGCTTAACTTTGGTGATCATATGGGGAACCCGTGTTTCAATGTGATGTGGCTGT